TTCACTGTCTCAATCTTAGAAGGATCCACCATTACTCCATCCTTAGAAACCACGTGCCCCAAGAACGACACTGCATCTAGCCAAAACTCACACTTAGAGAACTTGGCATAAAGCTTTTTCTCCCTCAACATTTCCATTACCATTCTCAAATGCTCTTCATGTTCCTTCTTGTTCTTTGAGTATACCAATATATCATCAATAAATACGATCACGAAGAGGTCCAAATATGGCTTAAAAATCCCGTTCATCAAGCTCATGAACGCAGCAGGGGCATTCGTAAGACCAAAGGACATCACTACAAATTCGTAATGCCCATACCTCGTTCGAAAAGCAGTCTTCGGCACATCCGTTGCCCGTATTTTCAACTGATGATAACCGGATCTCAAGTCAATCTTAGAGAAGACACAAGCACCTTGTAACTGATCGAACAAGTCATCAATGCGTGGAAGAGGATACTTGTTCTTTATGGTTACCTTGTTTAGTTGTCTGTAGTCTATACACATTCGAAAACTCCCATCCTTCTTCTTTACAAACAAAACCGGAGCACCCCAAGGGGATGCACTTGGTCTAATAAAGCCTTTGTTTAACAACTCTTAAAGTTGTGCCTTTAACTCTCTTAACTCTGCGGGAGCGATTCTACAAGGGGGTATAGAAATGGGGTGAGTACCCGGTTCAAGATCGATACAGAAGTCAATATCCCTATCTGGTGGCATACCAGGAAGATCTACAGGGAACACATCCAAAAACTCACGGACTACTGAAACCGACTCAATCGAAGGCACTTGGGTAGTGTCATCCTTCAGATGTGCCAAGAAAGCTAAACACCCTTTACTAACCATTTTCTTAGCACGAAGAAAGGAGATGATACGCACCGGATTGGAAGTGTAGTCACCCTCCCACACTAACGGATCTGTCCCAGGCTTGGCTAACGTCACCGTTTTAGCATTACAATCCAAGATCGCAAATTGCGGAGAAAGCCAAGTCATACCCAGAATTACATCAAAATCATCCATTTCTAAGATAACCAAATCTACATAAGTGTTGCTCCCCACAAAGTTCACCAAACAAGACCTATATACCTTTTCAACTACCACCGACTCACCCACCAGAGTAGAAACACGAATAGGCATATCAAGAAATTCACAATGTAAATTTAGACCATTAGCAAATGAGGAAGATACATAAGAAAACGTGGATCCAGGATCAAACAATACAGAAGCCATGCAATCACAAACCAGAAGATTACCTGTGATGACAGCATCAGATGCCTCCGCTTCAGACCGCCCAGGGAAAGCGTAACAATGGGCCCTATCGTTTGTCTGTCCATTGCCCCTACCATGTTGTGATGTAGTGGCCCCAGTTTGCCCATTACCTCTGCCGTTTTGGTGACCACCATTACCTCGACCACCACGTCCTCCAGAATAACGGCCTCTACCATGACCACCTCTACCTCTAGCTATTGGGGATCTATAACTTTGTCTGGGACAATTTTTCCTAATATGTCCAATCTCCCCACACCCATAACATTCTCTGGAGTCAATCATAGGCCCCTCGGAGAAGTGTTGACCGGTCTGAGGTGGTCCCCCAACTACAGTCTGTAGTGAAGACTGAATTGGTCGGACTGAGTAACTTCCCAAACCCTGTCCTCTAGTGTAAGTACCATTAAACTCACCTCCCTTTCGAAACCTTTTTGATGTCGATGTCGTAGTGAAGTCGTCTGGCTTCACTCCTTCCACTTCTATCACAAAGTCTACCACCTCTTGGAAGGATTTTGCCATTGCCGCTATCTGTAAGGCCGAAATCCGCAATTCTGACCTCAATCCCTTCACAAACCGGCGAATTCGCTCTTGAGGACTGAAACAGAGTTGAGTGGCATATCTGGATAGTGCACGAAACTTAGCCTCATAAGCATTGACCGACATCATACCTTGCTCTAGGCTCAAGAACTCATCCCTTTTCCTATCCCTCAAAGTCCGGGGGATATACTTCTCCATAAACAAGCTAGAGAATGAGACCCAAGTCATAGGTGGTGCCTCTGTCGGTTGACACTCAACATGGGATCGCCACCACATTTTGGCGTTCCCTTGAAACTGATAACTCACGAACTCCACACCAAACTGTTCTACTATACCCATCTTGTGTAGTAGCTCGTGACAGTCAACCAGAAAATCATAAGCATCCTCCGATTCAGCACCCTTGAAGACTGGAGGTTTCAATTTCAAGAACTTACTGAAAAGTTCATGCTGATCACTTGTCATTATAGGCCCAGTAGTCAGACGTGGAAACGTGCCTATTTCCAATGGAACATCCATGCGGGGAGCCATAGTAGCCGTATGTTGTACCTCCGGAGCCTGAGGTGCTGGTGCAGAAAACACTGGGGGTGTCTGGCCCTGATCAGATAACCCACTAAGATAAGTCAGAACCTGATTGATCATCTCTAGGGTAGGTTGGTGTGGCATTTCCTCATTTTGCATTTGTTCATTCACCCCATCCTCCCCCTCTCTTATCACTTCCTCAGTCGATGGAGTAGTCACCGCCCTAGTACCAGATGGGCTCGGTGCTCGTCCTCTTCCTCTAGAGGACGTCCTCCCATGACCTCTACCACGGCCCTTGCCGCTGTTCTTCCTCGAGCCACAGCCCCAGTGGCTGGCTCAGTTGTTTCTTGTCTTTCCGGTGTTGGTGTCGGCGTAGTCGTTGCTCTAGTTCTAACCATCTGCGAAAGAGAGTGAAGATGGTCAGATACCAATTCGTATCGCCTAGATACCAATTGGACTCAAGTAGTAGCACGAAAGAAAGAATGAAAGAGTGAAATTTTGCTAAAGTCTTATAGCCTCTCAAAGAAAAGTAAAGGCGTCCCCCTACCGTTCCTTAAGACTCTACTAGACCTGTTCTTGTGTGATGAGACCAACGAACCTAATGCTCTGATACCAAGTTTGTCACGACCCAAACCGGGTTGCGACTGGCACCCACACTTTCCCTCCTATGTGAGCGAACCAACCAATCTAACCTTAACATTTCAATATAATATCAACAAAAAGTAATGTGGAAGACTTAAACTCATTAAATAAAGACCAATTTATTAACTTCTAAAATTCAACATCTATTATTCCCCCAAAATCTGGAAGTCATCATCACAAGAACATCTACGATCAAATGACTAAACTAAGAGTATTCTAAAAGCTAAAAATACATAAGAAGCTAGTCCATGCCGGAAGTTCAAGGTATCAAGACTTGAAGAAGAATATCCAGTCCAAGCTAGAAGCATTAGCTCACCCTGAATTTCTGATGTAGTAAGACTGGCTTGAATTACTGTTGAGTCGAAGATGACGGCACGTTTGCTGCACTCCACAAATAACAAGAAGAAAAACATAAAAGTAGGGGTCAGTACAAAACACGGGTACTGAGTAGATATCATCGGCCAACTCAAAATATGGAACAGTATATATCAAATATTATCGTAAATCAACTATAAAACTCAACATGTAGCAACAACAAGTACTATAATCATCAATAAGTACCATCAAGTTCATCCATGAGGGCTCAAGCGTCAATGCCATACTCATTTGGGAATTAAGTTTATTAAGTTGAGTATATTATCATCTTTCAAGATTCATTATCTTTCTTCCTCTTGTGTCGGTACGTGACACTCCGATCCCCTACTGCTATGTGTCGGTACGTGACACTCCGATCCCCTAATTCTATGTGTCGGAACGTGACACTCCTATCCCCTAATTCTATGTGTCGGAACGTGACACTCCGATCCTCTACATGTGTCGAAATGTGACACTCCGATCCCCTACATGTGTCGGTACGTGACACTCCGATCCCCTACATGTGTCGGTACGTGACACTCCGATCCCCTACATGTGTCGGTACGTGACACTTCGATCCCCTAATTCTATGTGTCGGAACGTGACACTCCGATCCACTAATACTATGTGTCGGAACGTGACACTTCAATCCACTAATACTATGTGTCGGAACGTGACACTCCGATCCACTAATATCATTCTGTAAATCATCAAGCCTTCTCTATTCCAAGGCATCATCAATCCCATTACTTTAATTCATCAAGCCTTCTTCTATACCAAGGCATCATCATTAATAATTTATATTAAAGTTTCTTTTCAAGATTTGGGATTCAATATTTTCATCATGCTTATCTTATCACAATCACATAATCTTATTCATGCAAACATACCATTAAGCATATAGTAGGTTTTACAATACTACCAATACATATCAGTCACTATTAAGAGTTTACTTATGAAAGCATGAAAACCATAACCTACCTCCATCGAAGAATTGAAATCAAGCAAGTTAATCCTCAAAGCTTGGTGTTTTCCTCTTCTTCTCAATCGTTTTTCTCTCTCCCTTCTTGTTCTTTCTATTTTCTTATTCAAACCCTCTTTCTTTTACCCTAATTAGTATATAATTAAGAATAAAAGATGACAATAATACCTCACTAATTAACTTAGGGTTACCTCTTTTAACCCCCAAGAATTTGAGTTATTAATATAAACCCACGAAATCTATAATTAAGGAAAGAATAGTCCAAAAACGTCCCTTAAAACGTGTAAGGAAATCCGATTCTGCCTGGGATTTGCGCAACCTGTGACGGGCCGTCGTGCCTGCGACTGTCCGTCCTGCAGGTCGTCGTAAGGGTCAGAGAGTCAACTTCCACTGAACAATCTATGACGGTCCGTCACGCCTGTGACGGTCCGTCCTGCCATTCCGTCACGAAGTTCAGAGAGTCGATTTTCAGTACCCAATTTCAGATTTTCTAAGTGTTTTGAAACGAGACCCTACGACGGTCCGTCATGCCCATGACGAATCGTCGTTTGGTCCGTCGCCTCAGCCTGTTTTTCCAGAATTGAAGTTTGTTTCTCAAAACGACTAAACAGGTCGTTACAATAGATACCAATTTACCCATCGTTCATCCCCGAACGATCAAAAGAAGGAAAACAAGGGCGAAAAGGAGTACCTGAATCTGTAAATAGATGTGGGTATTTTTCTCGCATATCCGCCTCCTTCTCCCAAGTGGCTTCTTCAACGGGTCGATTCTTCCATTGTACCTTGATGGATGCAATCTCTCTTGACCTCAACTTGCGAACTTCTCTATCTAAAATAGCAACAGGCTCCTCCTCATAAGACAAGTTCTCATCAAGCAAAACTGAATCCCAACGGATAATGTAGTTTCCATCCCCATGGTATCTTTTCAACATCGACACATGGAACACCGGATGTACTCCAGACAGCCTTGGAGGCAAGGCTAACTCATAAGCCACCTCTCCTACTCGCTTAAGTACTTCAAATTGTCCAATGTACCTTGGACTTAGTTTACCCCTTTTACCAAACCGCATCACCCCTTTCATTGGTGAAACTTTCAACAAGACTTGTTCACCCTCCATGAACTCTAAGTCTCTAGCCTTTCGATCTGCATATTCTTTTTGTCTACTTTGCGCCGCTAGAAGCTTTTCTTGAATAGACTTCACTTTTTCCATCGAATCCCTCAAGAGATCAGTACCCCAAGGTCTAACCTCGAACGCATCAAACCAACCAATGGGAGACCTACATCTCCTCCCATATAATGCTTCAAATGGGGCCATATCAATGGTCGAGTGATAGCTATTATTGTATGAAAATTCCGCTAAGGGTAAGAAGCTATCCCAATGGCCACCAAATTCTATCACGCACGCACGAAGCATATCCTCCAACACTTGAATCGTTCGCTCAGACTGACCATCGGTCTGGGGATGGAACGCAGTACTAAGGTCCAACCTAGTACCCAATTCCGCATGCAATGTTTTCCAAAACATAGAAGTAAACTGCGTACCTCTATCTGATATGATGGATAGTGGGACCCCATGCAATCGAACGATTTCTGAGATATAGATCTTGGCTAACTTCTCGGCATTGTAGGTCACCTTAACCGGAATAAAATGAGCAGATTTAGTTAACCTATCAACAATCACCCAAATGGAATCATACTTACCCATTGTCCTTGGAAGACCAACCACAAAATCCATTGCAATTCTTTCCCACTTCCATTCCGGAATGGGCATTCTCTGAAGTGTTCCTCCGGGCCTTTGGTGTTCATACTTTATTTGTTGACAGTTTGGACATTTGGCAATAAAATCCACAATGTCACGCTTCATTCTACTCCACCAAAAGTGTTGCTTTAGGTCACGATACATCTTGGTTGCACCCGGATGTATAGAATACCTTGAACTATGAGCCTCTGTAAGAATAGTGTTGATCAAATCATCGACGCGGGGTACACATACCCTTCCCTTGATTCTCAAAACACCTTCCTCATTGATTTGTGCTTCCTTAGCCTCTCCTCGCAATACCTTATCTTGGATTCTACGCAGTTTCTCATCATCGAACTGTCTTCCCTTAATCTTGTCAAGAAAGGAAGATCTTGCCTCCACAGAAGCCAACAATCCTCCCTTCTCATTTACTTCTAATCTCATCAAGTCATTAGCTAGAGTCTGAACCTCTCTAGCCAATGGGCGTCTAGAAGCTTGCAAGTGAGCTAGACTTCCCATGCTTCCCGCCTTCCTACTTAAAGCATCCGCTACAACATTCGCCTTCCCCGGATGATACAAGATAGTGATATCGTAGTCCTTTAGTAACTCCATCCATCTCCTCTGTCTTAAGTTCAAATCTTTCTGAGTAAAGACATACTGTAGGCTACGATGATGCGTATAGATCTCACACTTAATCCCATATAAATAGTGTCTCCATTGCTTTAATGCAAACACTACCGCAGCCAATTCCAAATCATGAGTTGGATAGTTACGTTCATGCACTTTTAATTGTCTTGAAGCATAAGCAATCACATTCTTCTCTTGCATTAGCACTGCACCCAAACCCGAATAGGATGCATCACAATAAACAATGAAGTTCTTACCCTCTACTGGCAAGGTAAGGATAGGTGCGGTAGTCAACAAAGTCTTGAGCTTCTGAAAGCTTTCCTCACATTCGTCCGACCATACAAATGGAACATTCTGCTTAGTCAAGTTTGTCAATTGGGAAGCAATAGAAGAGAATCCCTTGACAAATCGGCGGTAGTAGCTAGCTAACCCAACAAAGCTCCTTATTTCTGACACATTAGTAGGTCTTACCCAATTCTTCATTGTTTCAATCTTAGAAGGATCCACCATCACTCCATCCTTAGAAACCACGTGCCCCAAGAAGGACACTGCATCTAGCCAAAACTCACACTTAGAGAACTTGGCATAAAGCTTTTTCTCCCTCAACATTTCCAATACCATTCTCAAATGCTCTTCATGTTCCTTCTTGTTCTTTGAGTATACCAATATATCATCAATAAATACGATCACGAAGAGGTCCAAATATGGCTTAAAAATCCCGTTCATCAAGCTCATGAACGCAGTAGGGGCATTCGTAAGACCAAAGGACATCACTACAAATTCGTAATGCCCATACCTCATTCGAAAAGCAGTCTTTGGCACATCCGTTGCCCGTATTCTCAACTGATGATAACCGGATCTCAAGTCAATCTTAGAGAAGACACAAGCACCTTGTAACTGATCGAACAAGTCATCAATGCGGGGAAGAGGATACTTGTTCTTTATGGTTACCTTTTTTAGTTGTCTGTAGTCTATACACATTCGAAAACTCCCATCCTTCTTCTTTACAAACAAAACCGGAGCACCCAAAGGAGATGCACTTGGTCTAATAAAGCCTTTGTTTAACAACTCTTGAAGTTGTGCCTTTAACTCTCTTAACTCTGCGGGAGCCATTCTATAAGGGGGTATAGAATTACCCATGAGCCCTCATTAAGTTAGCTAGTGCAATGACTAATCCCTTACTCAATCAAGTAAACCCAACGAGACCCATAACCAATGTCCAACTTCACAAAGCATATCATTAAGACTAAATATCATCATGATTTAGCAACGGAGACCAAACACATATTCATAAGTGAAACAAATCAATATATAGTATCATCTATATGCAAGATCATCATATACATATCATGTGCAATTATAAGCATATAAATATATAACAACGTCCTCCTAAGACTTCCCTCAAGGATAACTAGTGGAATGTTTAGGTAGAGTCTCATACCTCTACCTAGAGTAACATAAACCCCTAAAGTCATCCTAGTTAGAGTTCATTCCATTAGTTAATTTTTCCTTTTCGGAAATCTTGCCTTAATCGACACAAACCACATTAGCTATTGTGTAATCCGCTTTCATGGAACCCTACACCAAAGGAACACAGACTACTTTCCAAGGTAGTAGCAAAACATGAACATTGCATCTAGCTAGATCAACTAGATAGTATTTCTTTGGGGGAAACATATTTTAAGAGATAGGAGATATAGTTGGGACCCTCTTTATATTACATGCATTATAGTCCTTAATATCATGAGTACATTAGTAACCCTAATTTCCCTATGTAAGAAGGGACACTCCTCACTCTAGTTCACCTGGTGCTAAGCTAGAGTCCCTTTTGATATATTTGTAATGTCTTTATTACTCATCATAGCTTAATGTAGGTAATAGGGTTTATGTCTTATATATTCATCATCATCATATCTCATTAGGAATTACATGAGTATTATCCTTTCATTAAAATTCAAACAAGTGAGATTAGCACAATTACATGTCACATCATGATAAGGCACATTGGTTAGTTATCACCATCCTTAAAACATTTAAATCTTAGACAACAACTCGCAATCCATATTTCAAGAAATTTCAATTCAACATCATACAAACCCTATCAATATTAAAATAAGGTATACTTGAATACAACATCATCACTTAATCACAAGTTATCATAATTTAAGTAAGAACTAGATATCACAAGATTGACTCAATATCCTTCACAATACCATCATCAAGGTCTTACCATCAACCATCCAATTCAAACCAACAATGGTATATATAGTCACACAATAGTAACATACATAATAATGAAGTCAATTGATTCACTACACAACAATTCATCACTAGTTCATGGCCTAGAATTAGAGAATTAGATCAAGTTAATAATTACTTTACAACCTAGGTTAATTGCTCATAAACTTACATAATAACAAGATAGGATAGTAATTCACACATTAACCAAGTCAATTACATCATCACTAGGGAATTCAATTTAACATCACAACCTAGGTTAAGGGAAATAGGTCATCTTTTACAACTTAGACGAGTACATTTAGAGGTAACTAATTAAGTTATAATACATTTTAATCTACTCATAGTAACTACAACAAATCATGAACAAACCAATTCACAAGATCAATTTTGTATTGAATGAAAACCCACTTGAATTTCATACTTTTGAAATCAATTTGATGGAACCCTTTGGGGAAAGAAGTCCCAAAGGTGAAAGGAAACACATACCATGTTGATTAATTGAGTTTGATGGAGAAACTTGAACCTTAGCAGCCCTAGAACCCTCCTTGACCATGTCTTCTATGGGTTTTTTCCATTTGGGAGAGAGAAAGAAGAGAGGAGGAGCAATTTGAGTTTGGGAAATTATAAGGGTTAGGTTAGTTTAATTTGGTTAGGGTATTTATATAGGCCATTAACCAACTTAATTAGGCCTAAATTAGACTCTAAAATAATTAAATAACAACCAAATTAATTAACTTAACTTATCTTAAAAACGTGCATAAAATGAGTGGATTCTACAAACGAGACCACGTCTATGGTCCGTTTGTCCAACAACGGCTAAGGTACCACCCAAACTTTTGGTCTGTCATTTTTTTCAGAGACATTCTAAAACAGGCGTCCAATGTATTTGTCTAAGTGACCATTGATGGGGGCCAATTATGCCTCATCAATTGGTCCACGAGCCGGCATTTGTACTAGTTTGTGCACACTACCTTTTTGCATCTTTTTGCCAAATTACAAGGGTCCTCCTCAAGGGCCCTTGGTTGGTCCTTGGGGATTTGTACCCAAACATTTCGACTATAAACTAATTCTAATACATGTTATACACCTTACCACCAAATTTAATATTTTGTGACTCCTAAAACTTAGTCAAATAGGCTAAGGCACACTAGCACCTCATAGAACTAGTTTCCGGACGTCATGGATGTTCTTTGATGTTTTGATTTTAAAACTTACTAAATAACTTATATACATTAAAATTAACCTTAAAATAGTTACACAACATTTATACACTCATGTTAAGCTCTATAACATGTGTCAAACTTTCGGAGTGTTACAACATCACCCCTTCCAAGTAATCCCATTTAAAAGACAATCTGACAAGGGAAATAAGAGATAGATCATATGGAGATAAGCTCTATTGCACGACACAAGAGTAATGAAGAATGGGTAACTTTTATCGTTCTATAGCCACTCGCTCATAGATATGTCCCAACTCACACCAATGAACAAGACTCTGTTACACGTGGCTTGTGAGACTTTGGACCCTAAGATTATCTACATAAACTTATGATCAAATA